TACATTTCACTGTGTGTTATACTTGTATAACTATGCATGTGACAAATAAAGAACCTTGAACCTTGAACCTTGAAGACTGAGATATTTGACTACGTGTAGAGGGGGGAAGGTGGATACACTGGACACAAGATGTTGAATATGCAGCTGCCACAGAGGAGGAAAAAAGGAAGCCCACAGAGGAGATTCATGGACGTAATGAAGAAGGACACGGTTGGAGCTACAGAGGATGAGGCTGAGGCAGATGATCCGCTGTGGCGAAAGAAGAACAAGATTGTAACTAAACCCTCCTGACCAGCAGGTGGCGAAATCCCAACCACACGCTGAAAGAACCGGAAGTGACATGACATCAAACTTCTCCGTCTCCCACGTGTGAGAGCATTTCAGTCACATTGGTAGGTCTGCGGCTCCATCATGAAACGACCAAGTAAGTAAATAACGTTGTTACAATAATACTTCATTATGAATAAAGTGGAATAATTATACAGAGCTTTACTGGTCTGTTAATCACGCGGTTAACGAGCTAGCGGCTGTCATTGGTGGTCGGTAAACCTGTTCAGTCTGCTTTAGCGCGGCTTCCAGCTAACAACCGCTAACTGTTTTATTCTTTTCTGTCGTCTTCAGAGTTAAAGAAGGCAAGCAAGCGGCTCTCATGTGCCAAACGTTATAAAATACAAAAGAAGGTAAGCGCCTTAACTTTGACACTAACTTCAAGCAGGACGTTTGAGTAAATGTTTCCCACAGAAGGCCCATGTGGACCAGATTTTCTTTTTTCTTTTTTTTAAACGGATTTTTGTGTCCCCATGTAACTGAGTGACCCAGTCTTGTCGTGTATTTAGGTCCGGGAGCACAACAGAAAGCTAAGGAAAGAGGCAAAGAAGAAAGGAGTGAGCAAACGAGTGAAGAAGGATATCGGAGTGCCCAACAGTGCTCCTTTCAAAGAGGAGATCCTCAGAGAAGCAGAACAGAGGAGGCTACAGGTTAGCAGTCAAATGGCTTTTCTTGCGCACATCATCACGGGAGCATGTTGAAGGTTAATGCACAGTCCCGATCTAACCATGAAAAAGTCTGTGCTTTGATCATCATGACATTCATGTGCAGTATGTCTCTTGTGTTGGTAAAGTGTAAGAGTCTTTCAATGAATCTGTCTCATAGGTCGAGGAAGAAAAAGAAAAGAGGAGGCAAGCTAAAAAGGAGCAGCGAGCTGAGAAGAGGAAGAAAGAGAAGGAGGCTGCGAGTAAAGCAGCAGAACCCACGGCGAAGAAGGCTCGCAAGGTAAAAAGGCCATCGCTAAGACCTTATGTGTATTCAACTTTTAAGCTCTTCTCTGCTGACCTTGTCTTGTTTAAATAGGATGACAATGGAACTCAGTCAGAGAAAAAGCCTGCCCCAGACAGGAGCTCAAAACACTTCCTTTGTGCTGAATTAAACAAGGTAAAGCTACCTGCTCCCAGGTGTGGTCTAACCATGGAGAATAATAGCTCTTAACGCTCAAGGGATCTCCTCTGTTTCAGGTAATCGATGCATCCGATGTAGTAATAGAAGTCCTCGACGCTCGTGATCCACTGGGGTGCAGGTGTCCACAGCTCGAGGAGGCTGTGCTGCAGAGAGGAGGCACCAAGAAATTACTTTTGGTTTTAAACAAAATAGGTAAATTGACTTGGGATCCTGCCTCATGTTTCACGTACAGTTTAAACCCTGATGTGTTTGCGTGAATTTCATTGGATTAAACTGGTTTTTGGCTTTGTCTGTTGCAGACCTGGTGCCAAAAGAGACCGTGGAAAGGTGGATCCAGTGTTTGCAGCAGGAGTTTCCTGCTGTGGCATTTAAAGCATCGACACAGCTGCGGGATGGAGTTGTGGTAGGTGGTGCATTTTACTCTCCACACTTTAAAAACATGAAGACTTTGCCATTCAGATTTTGCCACAACAGCCAGTAGTTCTGTAAGTTTGATTTATTTAGTTAGTTATTTTTACGCTGGATGCGTGGCACAACCCTAAGTAGATTTGTGTCTCCGCCTGGGATTGAAAAAGAGTCAATTCACCTGAGATTTTGCACAGTGAGATTTTGCTAAAATGATTTTCTTGCCATCACCCAACATCATAACTAAAAAGCGAAAGGGAGACTGATCACATCTCATGTTTGGTCAATACTGAACTGGTGACAGCTCCAACTTTCTGCTTTGAAAGCATTCCACCGTCTGTTTAGATCACAGATGCAGTTTATTCATTTTCACGAGTTGTCTGTCATAGAGGGCTGAAATAACGAGCGTGTTTTAAAACTGTTATTCAACAGTGGCTAGTGTGAGTTCTGTGGTTACTAAGAAATGTTAGAAATTAGGGTTGTTGTTTTTTTTAATGATGTGGAGGACTGAGAAGGTTGGACAGCTTCTTCTGTGCTGTTATAACTGGTTATAGCCTCCAAGAGTAGTAAACAAACCACATGATTAATTCAGCCTGTTCTACGCAGAGCTGAGATGTGTTTGTGGATCATTTTTAAAAATCTCTATGCATGCAGACACGAGGTATCCATTTTTACAAAAGAGCAATCCTCAGCCACTTTAACTGTTCATGATATCTCTGTTTCGCTCTTCATTAGAAAGCCAAAAAGCGCAGGATAGTGGCCTCTAATGAAGTGCTGGACAGATCCAGAGGAGCAGTCTGCTTTGGAAACTGTTGTCTTGCAGAGTTGCTCATAAGCTACGCTGATAAAACGCAGAGTGAAGGTTCACTCCGAGTCGGTGTAGTTGGTAAGTTTTTCTTTTTTTGCCATCAATGTCCTTGATGGGTGTTTCATTCACTGTCAATTGTTCAGGGTACTGAATCTTTTGCACACTTCCTTTTACCTTCAGGTTTTCCTAATGTTGGGAAGAGCAGCATCATCAACAGTATAAAGGGGTCCCTAGCATGCAATGTTGGCATCAAGAGAGGCACCACCAAGTAAGTGGCAATCTTTAAAAATCCAGTCTCTAAGTAGAACTCTTCTGTATCACTGCTTGCAATTGTTCTGTTTAGTTTGCTTTAAAAGTTGTAATTTAAGTGAATATTGGTGGTGAATACGTTTCTCTGACCCTCTCGCTTGTTTTGCATCATCATTTTTTTTTTCCTCTCTACAATTCACCAGAATGATGCAAGAGGTGCACATCGCAAAGAATGTGAAGCTAATAGACAGCCCAGGAGTTGTGGCATCGCCATCCAACCCTCCGGCCTCGATGGCTCTGAGGAGCCTGCAGGTGGAGGAAGGCGGTGAGAGTGTGCTGGAGGCTGTCAGGAATCTGCTTAAGCAGTGTGATAAGACCCAGGTATGAAGAGTTTCTCTCACAGGAGGTGTTAACATTACAAATTTGGTCGCTACAGTTTTAATAAATTAAGGTTATTTGTTCTGATTGTTCCAGATCATGCTTCAGTATAACATCCCAGACTTCAGAAATTCTCTGGAGTTTCTGACCCTTTTCGCCAAAAAGCGTGGTTATTTGCAGAAGGGCGGCGTTCCCAACACAGAGCAGGCGGCCACCATGTTTCTTGCAGATTGGACAGGGTGAGTGTGCGCACTTTTATACTGTCTTGGGAAGGTGGGCAGCTGCAGTGCATGACTGGAAATGAGGACAAAATGCACTTCTGGAGTTCATCATGAAGACTTCTAATCCAACTCTGATCCAGATACTGTGCTGTACTGAGCTGTAAACATGCTGCTTGGCAAACTGCTTAGTGCTTTTGAATTAAAAAAAATCCTGCTCTCTGGCTTGATGTCTCCTCAGAGCCAAACTGAGCTACCACTGTAAGGCACCAGAAAACCACAGCCTTCCTGCCTACCTGTCTGATGCTGTGGTCACTGAGATGCAGAATGGCTGGAATCTAAACAAAATAAAAACGGGAAACAAGGAAACTCTGAAAGGTATTAATGTGAAATTTTGTGAAGTTTATTTTGGGGGGGAGGGAGTGTCATTGTGTAACGTAAGGCAAACATAGTACACTATTACAGAGGTAAATGGTTCCCGGCCACTTTATTAGTTAACCTGGTTAGTTACTGGGTTAGAGCCCCTGTTGCCTTCAGAAGTGCCTTAATTACTTGTGGCATAGATTCAGTGAAGTGCTGGAAATATTCCTCTGGTTTTGGTCGATACTGAAATCCCAAAAGATTTCAGAGGAAGCAGGTTTCAGATGATTTTTGAGCTTTGTGACATGGTCCGTTATACTGCTGGAAAAGGACATTGTCAGCAACATTAAACATAATAAATAATAAGCAAATGATGCTCAAATGGTTTTAAGAGGTCCAAAATGTGAAATGGACCAATCCATCTGACACAACTATCATGCACATTTAGAGTCATAAAATCACCTTCCTTTCCCATCTGATGCTTGTTTTGAAATTCAGGGATTGGTTGATAGAAGTCTAGAAATAAAAGTTGAGAGTGCAGGAAGTAGTTACGGTTAATATTAATGTTCTATTCGTGTGAGGTGTAAAGAATTGCAGTTTGGCCTTTTGAGGCCTCAAGTGGGCTTTTCAGGTCAGCACTTGTGAATGTATTACAGTGTTTTCATTCTTTAATCTTGTTGAAAACATTCCCTTTTGCAGCTGTTAGATTTCCAAACCAGGCCAGCAGTATAGGATTCACCTCTAAAGGGCCGACTTCAGGTTTGCTGAGTGTCGCCGACATCCCTGAAGGAAAGCCTGGAGCTGCAGCCACAGAAGAAGCAGAGCAGAACGAAGAAAGCAGCGAGGTAATTACAGATGGGAAACCTGTCAGACAATAGAGCTGCTTAAAATGTTAATGATGGTCCACTCTTCTGGAAATGAGGACAAAAATGCAAGTCTTGAATTGTTCATGAAGACTTCTAATCCAACTCTGATCCTGATGACTGGAACCCTTTTTTTTTTCTCTTAATAAAACACGCTGTATATTTTTGAGCTTGTTGAGTTTAAATAACTGAACCATCCGCTCTTCTTACAGACTGAAACCACGGAGGACTCGAATAAAAAGGAGAAAGCTGAGAAACTACAGAAAAAGACAATCAAAAGTAAATGTTTTGAAAAAGATTGCTTTCATTTGTCACTAGAATATTGGTCCCATCAAGGCAGCTACTTAACATCTCCTGCTTTCTCGTTGCAGAAAAAAAAGGAAACGTGCGTTTTCAGTCTGTCCCCATTGACATCAGCCTCTCAACAGCTATCACAGACGACGCCTATGACTTCAACACTGATTTTAAATGATTGAGCGGGTGCCTGCAGCCTGGTGGACATTCAGACTTTGGATTCATCAGAATGCATGAAAATGATGATTATACAGTCACTTGGGTGCCTTCACTTGTCCTGCTAGTGGACTGATTTCAGAGTACAGCTGGGTTGAACCCAGCTTACTGTGGGATTAATCTGAAAGTTTTCAACTGATAAATCAGTCGGTTTGTCTTTCTCGGAATAACCACCAACCAAGAGATGGACTTTATTGCATAGCATGCATCTGTATATATCTGATTCTTTACAAGATCTTTGTAATATCTTGTATTGCAGTGTAAATAGACATCGTACTACCAAGGTAATAAACCTGAAAAGAAACAATCTGTTGCCTTCTGTTGTGTGGAGTTTTTTGTTTTTTTTAGATCAGTACATTTCAATATGAAAACCCTCTTTAATTCAGTTTTATTTATATCTACAGAGCCTACAGTAATACCAGAGAAAACCTGAACAATCGGACAACCCCCTATGAGCAAACATTTGGTGATAAAAACTAACTTTTCTAAACTCCCTTTTAACAGGATGAACCCTCCAGAACCAGGTTCAGGGAGGGACATCCATCTGACACAACCCACTGGGAAACATCTTAGCCTAATTTTAAAGGTATTAACTACAGTGTCTTTGTTTTGTTATTGTCCATCCCTATTAGGAAAATGAGAGCCAGCACATGTAGAGGTGACCAAAGATACCAGCATCTTCACTGTACACAACAAAAGCAACGGTATGATCACAAAAGACTGGACTTACCAAATATTTATCAACTTTCTGCAAATCCCTCAGACATGTTTGAAAAGTGTAGCAATTTCTGATTCATAAATGGCGACTGCTATTTTTGGGAAAACAAATCAAATTCTGGATTTAAGCCTGATATTTGGCACACTGTCACAAAAGGTACCGAATTCTGAAGAAGATGCAATTGTAAAAAGATTTAGCAGATATTGGACAAAAAAAGAATCACGAGAGTTTAATAAACATGTAACCTTTATTTGATATACAAAAAAAAGACATTTACACCAGTAAGGGAACTTTAAACAGGTAGTAGGAAAATGCTGATAATGAAGCACTAAAGTAGATGTTTGTGCAAAGCTGTTCTGTTCCTGCAGAGGTGCAGTGATCTTAGTGGTTCGTGTAAAAAAACACCGTTTTGTTTTTTTTTGTTAAATATGAAAGCGGGACGGGTAGTGTTTATTATGGTAAAGTAACATGCACCATTAGTTTGACTGCAGTTAACCTGTAGAGGATTTATACAAGACTTAAAAATATAGTTTTCCACAGGAAGTACTGCACTGAGGTACTGACATGAGGAATTTGCATGGCTAATGATTATAATTCAAACTAAGCTGATCAGAAAGAAGCAGGAATAAGCTGTGGCTGTGGCTGTGACTCACTCTAACGACAGCTCAGATAATTGAGTCATTTAATATGCACATTAAGTAAATAAATCCTTATTTAGCTGCTAAACACACCTACTTAAAAGCCATTTACTTTGACAAGGATGGTTTATGCTCAGCTGAGTGGGAGTAAAACAGTATTTGAAATGGTCTACTTTTAGTTTAACAAAATATTTCTAAAAAAAATGCAATTCGAAGCGATCAACAATATACTCTGGATATAGAAAAAAAAATCTCTGTTCATTGGAAGATGAGAATAGGCAGGTCCACATTCGGAGGACGATGGAACTAAAACACATGACATTTGCATAGTTCCTGAGATATGAAGAAGTTTTCCTGCTGCTACGAACCCGATCTGAAGGTTCAAGGAGCCCATTTTTCAGTCTAGCTGTCCCCCGTGTGTCTTCGCACAGGGTGAAATTTTCCTGTGGGGTCGGGAATGAACCACTTGTCCCACACATCAGTAAAGGAGGATCCTCGCCCCCAGGGCTTATAGTGTCCGTTCCAATGCAGGAGTTTGGCAGCTTTCACAAACTGGGAAGAATAGCGGCTTCCAGCACCTGTTACACCTGAAAAATGAACAGAATTGTTTCTTTTATTTAGCATATTTAACACTGAAAGCACAAAATATAATCCGTTATTGTATGAAGAGAAACATGTTTTTTTTTTTTATCACCAAAACAGGACCATCCTGTATGATCATCAAACATGTGATCTGAATATTTTTATCCTTCACAGAGTTTTTGCACAATTAAAAGTCACTTAATGACATCAAAAGGCTGCTGTAGGACTAGTCTGACACTGACAATTTGCCTCTTTGCAGAGACATTTGACCACACTGGCATGTATTAGTTAGAAGTGAAGACAAGGCTAGGAGGTGGCTGTTTTAAGTCAGTTACAGCAAAATGCTCAGACTAATGAACAGCCTGCCATATATCTATCTGGATTGTTTTGGTGTGATTTCCACCATTTTAAAAATATCAGATGTAGAAATCTCTGCTTTTTTCTTGAACATAATGGAAATGTCTTATGTGGTGGTGAACATGGAAAAACAAAACTAAATTCATGCTTTCTTCTGAAGAGCGAAACAGTTGATGGGTGAAGTCAGATAAAAGAGTAAAAGTTCTTACATTTAAGTGATCACAATATTTTTTGTTCTTTTAAGAAAGCATGTCGTAATTTGTGAAGAGACGCGTCGCTACTGACTTTCATTACGGCACTGTAAGCTCCACAAGGTGCCATTTAGATCCATTATATTCTAAAGAAGGCAGAGAAATCTACAACTTGGCACCATGAAAAAAATGACCTATTTAAATGATTTACCCCCAAGTAATTTACATAGTATTCATTTGGCCTCACACACCACATAAATAATTAGATTCTGAGGCTAAATGTGTCTTTAAAAGCTTGTCAAGCAGCCTGGTCTTGTGGATGTATCTGATATCTCCACGTTGGACTTGTTCTTGAATCAGCAGCATTAACGTTTGTCAAAGTTCAACGCTGCAAGTGAACAAGAACACTGTTGTGATGTCATAGTTTTTTAACATGGAAAAAATAAACCTGCTGATGTCCACTCAGGGAAAAAAAGTTTTTTTAAAAATGTTTGGAGTTAGATTTGAGGGTTAGAACGTGAACGTGGTTAAGGTTAGGGTAACGAGCTATACAGGGAGTGCAGAATTATTAGGCAAATGAGTATTTTGTCCACATCATCCTCTTCATGCATGTTGTCTTGCTCCAAGCTGTATAGGCTC